AAACAACATCAGATTCTATTGAAGGACATGTATATATTACATTTCAGGGTTGAATTACTTACTGATATCATTTGCTGGTGCAATATTAGGAGTCAAAGGGGGAGTTAGTTGCGATGTGGATGCACTCTCATTTTCTTGTGGCTTTTTCAATGTGACATTGATTTGAAGGGGTTTGCTTGTTCCACTGAAGACAGCTTTCACTTTTGTAGTATCTAAGGCAACAAAGCTATTCAAGCATGAGAAGGTGTATCTGAAACGAGGAGGATAAGAAAGAACCTCTTCCATCATTTGAAGCATCTCAATATTCTCTTTATTCACATTACCAGCTTCACAACCCATCACTTTAAAATAATCAACCTCTGACTCAAATATCTATAATAAACAATCATAAGTATTATTCAGTGTCCTATGCATGTATCTACCTCTTCTGTATGGAATCCATTGTGATCTCTTTCCCATCCTGGTACACTGTCTGGATCGAATGCTGCAGATAAGCTGCCTTCATCATCAAACATGATACTCTTCAAGTTACTAATTGCAAAGTCTTCATCCTTATACTGCTTCATTACAAGCTGTAAATTTAAAATTATCATAAATAATTACACTTTAAAAGAGACATTGATAATACCTGCTTGCATCCCATCTGACAAGGAAAGCAGCAAAAGTCAACAAAAGTTGTTTCATCTTCTTGTTTCTCAGCCATTGCTATCATGTAATGCTTCTGAGTACCTTTATATGCATTCTTTTCCATGGCAACACAGTATGAACAAAAGTGGTCACAGAATGTCTTAAACATTTCAGAATCGACTTCCATTTTGACATTGCTACAAGTAAAAAGAAACTTTCCTTTTTCCAAGAAGTTCTGATCACTGGCTGTCAAGTGGATGAAGAGGTTTTTCATGGTTGTCCCAATATTGATGTTGTGGGGAAGGTAAAGCTCTGCCGGTTTTGTTAGTTTTTGATCAATGTAGACCCATACAATAGGAGTGATGGGTACATAGTCACCAAACTTGAACTTAGTACTAAATGGACACACTCCAAACCATGCAGTAGCAGGTTGTTGAACTGCTCCCTCTGGAATTATGAGTGTCACACCAGTCTTGCTGCAGTGATGGACCAAACCTTTACTATCGAATTGTAATTTGATCAGCTCACCAAAGATACCTACAATAAATCATCGTTACATAGATCTACAAACTATTTTACCTTTTATTTGTTTAATTCCAGCTGCAATCTTTTTTCTTATTTTTGATCCTTTTTCATCTGCTTCTATCCTTCTCTCAAGAATGCTTAATAAATACTCATCAGTTACATATTGTGACATCTCTTCATCAATTGGTTTTATTGTACGATTTTTACTGCTGACATAATAATATCCTCCTGTTACAAAAGAGAAGCATGCAATTGTGGCTCCTAGTATAATTAACACTAAAACAAGTACAATAATAATGATTAATAACAGTATTCCAGATAATCCGGTGGCCGCACCAGGTGGTGGTATAACAGTAATTGTTGGCCGTATAATTGTTGTAATATGTATAGGTTCTGATGTTTTTGTTGGAGATGCTAAACAGTTTGTCATTGATAGAGTATATGTACTGCTATTGTACAATTGTACTGGTTGATTTCCATATTGCAACTTTGCACTGTTGCTAGAAAAGGCAAATATGCAGGCTTCATTAGTGAAAGACTTCAGTTGACATTGTGGTCTGTTTATTGTCAAGTTTCTGCATTCTTTAGGATAACCTATGTTTTCATAATAAAATTGTTTTATTATAATGCTTCCATTTACAGTGAGAATCCTATCTTTGTTTGTAATGACAATTTTAACAAAAGGATCATAAAGTCTAAAAGCTGTAATGTTTATTGAATTTGAATGGTGACCAATATTAGATGTAGCTGGGAGGTGATCAATGGCCATTCCTATTATAATTTGTAATTTAGAAAAACTACCATTCCTTGATTGATAGCTGTATGTCATGTTGTAGGTGACCATATAGAGAAACACAAGACTTTCAGGATCAACATTTCCAGTTAAATTGTAAGTATAGACAGTGCTTGTATTAAAATTTACTTCATTGAGACTTTTAATCATAGGTGGATTATGACGAGGACTTTGATATAGATCAACTTTGCTATCACAAGAAGGATCAACAAGTGACATATAAAGACTGGTGTTCCTGTTGACAGGGATGCAGGCTGAAACTGAATCATCTTCACCACCAATACCAATTGTAGTAAGGTTGAATGAAGCAACTGGGTATAATAATAGTAACAGGAAAGACACTCTTAGAAGTAACTCTACAATATAAACATAATAGAGTATATTTACTATTGAATTGACTTACCCATGATCCTGAACTACTGACTATACGGTGCTTGTATTGCTACATGGACTTCACAAAACATTGCAAAACCACAAAAAGGAAGTGTATACTAATAATGTGGGGCCTGGCATAGTAAT